GTTGCTTTCTCTTCGAGTCCAACAGTCTTTATGCCAAAAGTTTGCTGAAAAATTAAACAATAAGTATTGAAAAACATTACTTATAAGCGATTAAAACAATACAATTGTGCAGAATATCCCAAAATAACTATAATTCAATTCAATACCTGATCGCCTAAATTAACACATTGCCAGTCGTTGTCGTCTTCAACCACTTTCATGTCGTCTTCTAATCAATGAATAGAATTTAAATAATAGGCAAAAGTAAACCACAAGAGAGACGTACGATCGAGAAGTGCCACTTCTATCTTAATTGCGGCCGCCTTTAGGACAGAGGGCATAACGAATGGCAGGTATGGCTCAAATTGATTGCCTAAGATCTTACAGATTCTCGCCCACGAAGAGATCATATAAGACAACTAAATGATAACATTCTTATTATTAACTCTTAAGAGTCAATGAGCGAGAGTGAGAACAAACCTGTGGGTCGTCGTCGTCGAGTATGAGTTCTCCGGTTTGGTTTTGTAGCAATAAATTCATTATATCGTTGGCATCCGAACAAAACTATTGCATTAAACAAAATTAGTTTCACATTTCATTGAGTTGTATTCAAAACATACTCTTTCACTGCCAACGGCCAAACCTATAAGACTTATGCATTCAATGCATTTGCCTCTCAAAAGTCTTAGCTCTTTGGTCGTCGCGTTTTGTATAATAAATTTAAGACACGGAATAAACCTAACAATAATTAATCATAAATTTGCACTTAAATTACAGTTAACTAAAATATATATAAATACTTGTCGTAATAGTTTTGGAAATTTTCTTGGGCTGAATCGGCCAAAGAGGCTAAAGTGACCACAATTTGCTCCAAAACCAGTTTAGATCCCCTTTCCATTAGCTGTTAAGTAAATACAAGTTTAATAAGCAAACAAAAACCGGTAAATACGGTGATAAGTCACCTCTTTGATCTTTATATTTAACACTTGTTCAATTTTGTTGACAACACTTTCCATATAATTAACGACAATCTTTTGCGGACACTCTTCGAAGAAGTTAACGAGAGCGGCGCCGGCGTGTGCCTGGACTCGAGGGTTAGCGTAATCATCGAGTAGTGTAAGCAAAGCGGGCACTACTTTAGAGTGGAAATTGTTCTCAAATAATGGCGTAAAATCAGTGGCCATTTGTCCCAAAGCATTACAGGCCGCGTATCGGACTCTCGGATGGGAATCATTAAGGAATGGTATAATTGCTTCAACTATTTGGCTAAGCATTGGAGTGATTTGGTCGTGACAGCCCTCTCCCACCGCCGATATGGCCATCAATGCACCGAATCTGTGCTTCCAATCAC